TTTTTCAATCAGGTCAGAAATAAACATTCTTATTTCACATTGTGAAATATGGCCACACCTGCGCCAGTTTATTTATGTCAGACGTTTCAAAACGGTGATCAAACGTGTTTGTCACGACATCTTTCCCGATGTTGTGGAGCATTAAAGCCAAGTGTTGTCCATTCTAAGGTACTCAGACAGAGATTTGTGCTGAAAATGTCAATTTTAGTGCCTCATAGTGTTTTCACCACGACTGATGATGTTATAATACAGGCAGTCCGGGTGTGATGTCATCCTGCGCATGTCTTGTCACTGCTATGAGCTAAGGTTTTGCTATCTTGATATCTCTGTGTGATTGTAGCTTGATATTAAAAATATTTTCTTTATTGGTGGAACTTTTAATTCCTTGTTTAGTTGAATGTGTGGCGTATCACGGTCTAAAGGTGCTTTCACAATGGCACACTCACTCCACCTACAGGCTATTATATTTTAACCATCAAGTATTCTTTTAAACAGGGCTTATGTTTAACAATGCAACTGGTATTTTGAAGAAACCCTTTATCAGTATCATGACCAGATCTTTTAATGCAATCTGTAGCACATTAAACTCTCCAAAGTAATTTGAAAGTGAAGCTAATCTATGTAGAAAATTAAACATTCAAGCTGTTTCTTTTCTCTAATTGAAAATCCACTTTCCATTTACACTTTTTACAGTAATGATGCACCAAAGAAAATACAAATACCACACTGAGTTTATAAAATTAAATATAATTTCTTAACCCTTATATTAGTTTCTAGAGCCCGACCGATAAAGGATTTTGAAGGCCGATACCGATACAAATATCGACCGATTTTTTCCCCCCCAGAATACATGATAATGCATTCATGAATAATATGATAATGCATTTTAAAAAGAAACAGACAAGAACAACATCAAAATATATGAAAGTTCTGATAAATAAAACAATAATTAGTTCCTACATTGCCTTATAAGCTACCTGTGTGTTGCGTTATACACGAGTGTTGCCAACAGGGACGGTGTAGAGTGCCCTCTGGTGGACAAACTATACAACTCCAACACTCATGACATTGGTTGAAGCGTGTTTCGTCCGTTTTTATTTTTATTTTTGAAATATTCATTTATCAGCCATTATAACTGCCGATACCGACAGTTTAGAAAATGCCTAATATCAGCCGATAATATCGGCCTGCCGATAAAGTTATGGATAAACAGTGAAGCCTACTTTAACCAGTGCCATTCATTAAACTCAGAGACTTACAATTACAGTAAAACAGTACAGGTTTTTTTTGTGATTGTTTTAGTTTTAACGAGCCAACTAATTTCAATTAGCTGACTCTACACACAAAAACACCCACTAAAGGGACGGACCCACTGAAAGAACATGAGATAAGTGTATAGCTCAATTGTACAGTGGTAACAGATATTATCCAGCCCAGATATAGGCTAACAAAAAATAAATAAATAAAATAGTAACTTAAACTGAACCAAAAACATTACCTTTCAAAAGTTTGTAGACAATAGCCTACCTTTTTTACTCTGCCATCACCGATAATAAATTCGAAATTTTTAATTTACATATAATATTACTATTTTATATTATTAGCCTACTGTTTTTACTGCATCTTTGATCAAAACATTGCCTCATGAGCAAAAACATTTTAAACCTAACCCACCTCAAACTCTTGAACAGTATTATATCACAACTTACTAACGTAAATTAAATGAATATGGAATCGCCTTTATCTTTGTGTATCTACTTTTTCACAAGGGACATTGCGTAATAAAATATCAAACTAAATCAACAGCACAAAAAAAGTAATGGTGACCATATCGAATGGAATAACTTTTATGCAGTTTTAAAACTGCATCCACTTTTAAAAGTATCTAAATACTTTTCAGATATATTGTAAATACACAAAGGGAAATCATACAATAACATGTAATAGGATGTATCCTTGTGTCAGCTCATCCGAACCGTCACCTGAGAACATCACAACGCTGTCTGCCTTCTCATGGATGTACTTTTATTTCAGGTAATTAAAAAACAGAGATCGCTGAATGTTCCTGCTGCCATCTAGTGGATATGAGTTTAGACTACAGTCACAATGCCAAGACAAGCTTGGCTACTATTGTTCATCATACTTTGATTTGTTTTAACCCCAACTATTAAGCTTTTGCATCCAGTACGGGTTGTGCCACAAATCAGGCAGCTTGTTGAACAGGGTGTGCAATTTATTTCATGATTAATAAAATAGTGAACATCTAATAATTCAACAAAAGTTGCTTCAAGATAGTTACAGCACAGAAGTCTGTATTACACAGATGAAGGGAAAAAGCATCATGAGAAAGAAATCTTTTGTGCTAATTTTAATTTTTCAAGTTTCAGACAAGAATTATGTCTAATTCTGAGAATTCACGTGGTCACATGATCAAATGAGTAGAGCAGAGGAATGGTAGCTAACTAAACCCTCAACCCAACTGGCTGAGGTCTATGCAATGTGCAATGACAGCAGGAGAGTTGTATCATCAATGCTTTGCAAATGTTAAAAGTTCACAACACTCAAAACCACATATAGCACGCCACTTCCATTGAAAAGGCACAATTTTTATTTATTCATTTACAAATGGCCAACCTTTAAAACCTTTGATTTTCAACATCAGGTCACACTACTTATTATCTGAGCTATTAAAATGTTTTATGAGATTTGCAATAAACAAACATTTTTTTAACATGGAAAGCTTTTTGACAGATTTGATATTCCCATAAATTAAAATTTACTGAATAATTTTGTTTCTTACAATCTTTAGGTTAAAGGCTGAGCTTGAATAATCCAGTTCGTGCAAAAAAAAAAACAAAAACAAAAAAAAAATTAAGTTAAATTAATTTTAAAAAAATTAATTAGTTAAATTAAATTAAATTAATTAAAGATTAATTTCTGCTGAAAATAGGCAAATAAATGCCACATTTTCAATGTCACAATTTTAAGGAATGTTACAGTTTTTCAAATAGAGGGATAGTTGTGCTGAAACAAGGATGCATAATTTATTGTGTCCCACACTTCATGTTTCTGATAAATAAATGTGTTTTAAAATGTTTATTATACTTAACTGAATTGAAAATTAGTTAAACATATTATTAAATAGGTAAGTTATGATACTGCTGGTTGATTTTATTGGTGGTTCCAGTTGAAGTCAAAACCACTTATTTAAGGAAGGGCATTTGATGAGTTTAAAATCAGCTACTTTCATAGTGAGTTAATAGTTTAACAATCACATCTAATAGTTCTCTCACAAAAGACATGGGATTTTGCCTCTAATACAGTAATGTGTCCTATACTAATGAAACATGTCATGATGTTTAGGCTGTAAAGTACAGTTGCTACATGTACAGAGTTCCTTACCTTGCGAGCAGCAGCCAAGTCTGCGGTCTTCTTCACCGATGGAAAAGGTCTTAATGGGAAGGAGGAGCTGCTCTTCTTTGGCCGGTTTCACAAGTGTCGCAGCAACCAGACTTGAATTGAGTCCACCTGGAAATACAAAAATCATGTACAGGGTGAATCTAAATAATAATAATATAAATAATATATTATCAGTACTTAACGCACTAAATTCATTTGAGCTGCTTAAGTCTTGTCCTCAGGCTTACCAGACTACTGCAAAGTCCCCAAAGGCTGTTTTTTTTTTTTTTCTGGACTAATTTTAAGTAACCAATATAAGCCTAAGGCCTTGTTTTCAGTTATTAATGCTGTCTTAAAGGGATAGTTCACTTTGAAAATAATTTTTGATATGTTTTACCTCAAGGTCAAGTATTAAACTGTTGGTGGAAGGGATGAGATAATGTAAGGCTGATGTAGGCTAATGACAGTTGCACAGATGTGTGTGCAACTGTGCATGTTGGGAGTTGGGAACCGTGAGAAAAGGTCCAGTACCCGGTAACTCTAACAATAATCAATATTAATTTAGTTCATGGTTAACGGTTCCTGAACGCTGTAACTAAAAGACCCGTCTACGTGACTGTGGCGGATGTTGGTGAGCCTGGGTCAGGTCAGTTTGAGTTTTTATTTAATGGAATTTGTTTACAGTAAAGAATACACAACATTATTTTGGTTTAATAAACTTTATTTAAACTTTCGGTTGGAGTTAAGTGCGCACACTCTTTAACGTTTAGTTAAAGTTTATTCTTACCATTCTTTTTGTTTGTTTGTTTGTTTGATACGTCTGAGTCCCGTGAGCTGATGCACCATCAAAAGGGGTTCGAGTGGTAACATTGGACGTATTTATAGGGTTCCGGCCGATGATCGGGCCACAACCATTCAGGTTTTTTCTCCGGTGGAACACCAAGCACTATTTTGCTTGCTTTTCTTGTGTTTGTTTATAAGAAGTATATTTATTACGTGAAGTCATTAGTATTATTTGAGATGTTTGTTTATGTATATTGGGTGTTTTCACATTCATTTATTGTGTGTAATGGCCATTATATGTCTGTGTATCCCATTTATGTGTTAATTGGTGCTGGCCACCAAGGTATAATGTTTCTGTATGTGAGTTAGTGTTCTGTGAGAGAACAGGTTCTGTAAGCCCTTGACCTCTGTAAATGCTTGAGAGGCAAATGCAGTGACCCATCGTTGATGTATGATTTGTTTTTGTTATTTGATTTTTGGTATGTTTGGTTCACCACCATTGGGTTAGCATTGCCTTTACTTTTGTAACCCCATCCTGTGGAAATAAACCCCTAAACGTTTGCAGTAGCCTGTTGCCTCCATGTTCTTTTATCCTATACTGGTCAGTGGTCACATCTATCACAGTGACTAAATCAGCCATCAACACAGCCGCGTGTGATCTGTTTACATACGAGGTCTATCTGTTGAGTATATACTATATATAATAATGCATGCACATTCTTTTGTAAATTCCACAACACATTAACAGATGAAAACAAACTCTCATAATCTCTGTGGAATACTCTACAAAGCTGACATGAAATGTAGTCACTTTATGATATAGGTTACATTTAGAAATTTATTACAAACAATCATTAGTCACATTTATCATCATGTAACAATTAGCGTAACAACTCTCCATGGACATATTAGTATAAAAGTAAATGGTCCATGAAAAACAATATTTGTTGTGGCGATTGTTTGGCTGAGTGCGGCACTGAATGCTACATATTAACCCAGAGTCAATTACACTGGTTATATGAATTAATTAAATATTAATTGTCAACATGTGCCAGACATCGAACTTTAGACCTTAATAAGATATATCAGTGATAAATACCAATAGTGAAAATAGTGCAAAAAGATCTCAAGCACTGGAAGAAAAGACAAAGGGCAAAACAATTATAAAGCTGTAAAACTATGTACAAGTTTGAATAAAAATCATATAAACGTTTGAACTAATGTTCTGACATTTTCCAAGCATGCTTTCCCAATTATAAGGAACGGTGTCAGACTTCCTGGAGAGGCACTTCAGAAAAAAAATAAGTTATTTAAAACCAAAGCTTCCATTGGTTATAAAACTAGCTGCCATTAGACTGCCTACTAAAATAACACTTGGCTTTAATCAGGATTCATTTGAATAAACTGCAGATAGAGTGACTGTGAAATGTTTGTGTTAGCAATCCCAGCACTGCTGATGTTGGAGAAACCTGGTCTGTCTAGGTCGGTACTTTCTAAAGTCAATCCAAGAATCTCTCCATTACTGCTCAGACTGAGGTTTAAAGTAATCTTCTGTTTTAAATACACTGGGAAGCTCTTGATGTCTTTGTGATTGCCTTCTAGGGCTTCCAGGTTTCTGAAGAAGAAGAAGAAAAAAAGAAGAGGCAGTAAACAATTGGTGACAGTTCTATGCCAAATACTGTGGCAAGCATGCATATACACATGTAAAGAGCTCACGTTTAAAAAACCTGGCACGGCCATTGTGCGAAAGATCTTTTTGAAGGCACCTGGTAGGGTTCCAACTTCACCTTCAACTTGAGTTACTTGTTCTTCCATTGCATTGACATTGGCTCCAACCATTTTGACAAAGCCCTGACAATTAGAAGCTACACTTGAAGCAACAACAACAAAATGTCAATCCATCATCATGGTTCAGGCATTGTTCAAAGTTAGTACCTCCAATTTGTCAATTTTTCGGTAAATCTCTCTCATCTCTTCCGATTTTCTTTGTATCTGTGGTAGGTTCTCATTGACCACCTGTGAGGTGTCATTTCGAATCTATAAAAAAAAAATTAAAACAAAAACAAGTTATCAAGCTAGCATGCTTTTTCAGTTAAAGTATTAGCAGATTGGGCAGTTAAACACCTTTGGCAATGGAGCATTAAGCAGGGGCCACAACAGAGTCTGTGGAAAATTTGAGGGAATATGTAAATTGTGAGAGCTTATTTAGTCTATTAGATCTGAAAAAGCTCATACATTAACCCGCCCCTCGAAGAAATCAGGACAGAGGTGGTTGAAAGTGGACAAAAGAGACGGATTAAAATACCAGGTGTAAACGGGTGTGTGTCTCCCTCGTTTACTTGAGAACAGATCGCATTAATACCAGGTGTAAACACACTCTAAAAAAATATTTTCATGATTTAGTAATAACATTTTTTCTTTTGTCAAATCAACTTAATTTATTTAGTTCAGATAACATATAATTTTGAGTTTCTGATGATTAACTCAATCTCCTTCATTGAAATAACTCACTTTTTCCATTTCAATGAACTTAACATTTTAAGGCAACCAGGTTACTTACTTTTTAAGTTAAACCAACAATATATTTTTACAGTACAGTATTTTATTTTTTTAGCTTTTAGTATGAATATGTTAGCCTTGTAGTTCTAAAACAATGACAAAGAAGATATAAGCATTCAAAATCTCTCACTTCCACTAAAATGGATCACAGATTTTTATGACATCATTGCGTACTTTAGCTTCTTATCACATCTTCCGTCCAATCAAATGCTCTCTAGGATCTAAAATGTTTAACATTTTCAATAATTTGCTTTAGGTATAATACAGTAACAATATACAAGCAAATTACAATTTAATACAATATCATGTTTTTTTTTGACCCCCACACAATTAATGGGTCTTTATACATAAAAATATATAGATGCCTATATAGAGTATTTTAGGGAGGGGGTGATGATTATTAAACTCAGTCTTTATTGGGTTATAATAACAGTGTTGTTTTAGATATACAATATTAAATAATTTATTTTCCATTTGAATTAGCTTTCATATTTATCCTAGCTATATTAAAGAGGTTTCATTTGTATTGTTCTAGTAAGCATTGATGTATTTTATATATTTCAGCTTAGTTTTAATTATTTCAATAGCAACTTCACAAATGGGGGAAAAGACATTGATCTTACCATATCGAGCATACCAACAAACTCGTCAACTCTTGTAAGCATTTCTTCCAGGCTTTTCTCCAAGCACAGGACCTGCACAGCAAATATGTGATAAACGGCAAGAAAAAAAAGACACATGATAGACGTGTGCATGTGATAGAAATGCTACATGGATAAACAGTTGCTTCACTGCCTTATAAAGAAATAACTTATAATGAATAAGGATCATTAAGGATTTAAAAAGCAGTCGGCTGTTAGGAACATAATTCAGTCAGCAGCACAGAGAACAAGGCAGTCTTTATTTAACCCATATCATGCTTGACAAATTAGCCTTGATACACTGTGTTCCAAAAGGACGAGTACAGATGCATTGAAGAGACTCCCCCCTGCCATTAGACTGCCTACTAAAATAACACTAAAATAATACTAAAATAATGAGGGGAAGATATTTTTAGAAAAGCGTTTTTTGTTCATTCAATGAAACATTCTTTAAAATATCTTTTGTGTGCCACAGAGGAAAGTAATAAAAGTTTGGAAAGACAAGAGTGAGTAAATGACTGAATGTGAACAATCCCTTTTATCCAATATGGGAGCAATTAAAGTTTGACAAGTAATATTAAGCTTTTAGTTAAAAATAAATATAAATATAGAACTATAATGTGTATTATAAATACGTTTTAGAATAAGAATACACATCGCTTAAAGTTTACATGGTTTCACACAGCCGTGTGATTGGCTGTTCACAGCTATTCCTGTGCACACACATTAAATCCTGAGTTGACAGAGAAACTTTATGATCTATATTCTATTGATTGAGACTAAATTAATTTGTTGGGTTTAGTCAAACTAAAACTAACCCTGAATTTGCTCCGCTTATTATACATTCAGGACTTGGGCCTTTCTCCACTAAAATTCAGAAGTTGATTATGCTGTGGCTTCTTTTAAAACGATTTTCCTTGTGGAGACAAAATATAGATAGGGAACTGGCAATACTGTTTTGAAAATACAAGTTATTATCAATAATTATTTCTTGTTTTGTTGTATCTAGATCAGATTTACACTGCAGTATGGCCGAATCAGAGCAGAAGAACAACATGCTTGCTTATATGTGATACAGGTTAATAATAAAAATAAAGATGATGATGATGATATACTTTTTCTATCCTGCTTTTATTGTGTGTATTGAAGTTTAAGCATTATCATGTTAAAAAGGGCATGCCAAAGAAGGACTTGGCATCTATGTGTCCTTACCTCTTCTTCAGCGTTGGCTCTGATATAAGAGGAGTACGTGACGGCCGTGTGTCTCAGTAGCTCGTCGTCTTGTATCTGCTCCGGCGCGCTCTGGTCCTGGGTTTCTCCGGCTGCTGAGATCGGGCTCTGGGCCACTGCGGCGCCGAAGCTCGGGCTCTGAGACACGGTACCGCTGCTCAGGGCCTCACTCACCATAGACAAACTGCTGGCGCTTTGCGACACGATACCGCTGTCTCTGCTCACCTCTGCGCTGGACTCCTCCAGGGGTGACAGCACCGCTGCTGCCCTGTCAAAGCGATGCTCCATGTTTTTCGCTATCCACCACACACTGCTCTTGTTTATGTGGAAGTGAACACGGAGCAGCGTGTGCGCATGCGTGAGTTTAATAGCCAATCAAAGAACGGGTTGGCCACACGTTGGTCATGTGATAATAAGGGTCAGAGACTCAAACGGATAGAACATATTTCTTGCATATTTGTAAACATTTGACATAATTAAACAGGCAGACAGAAATATAGATATATACAGTTCAAATAAAAATGGTTTATGAAGAATACAGGAAATTGCTGTGCAACTGTCGTCGATCTTAACAAAAACAACACCACAGAATGTGTTTTGTCCATCTCATAATTTTATTTTGTTAAAAAAAACACTGACATCTGTAAAAACCATATAGACATTATTTACATGTATTTTGTATCGTAACTACCATATTAAGTGTGGTTTGACTGCCTCACACACTGAAACTGTTTTTAAATTAATCTCTTTTTTAGCTTGTCCTGATTTGTAATTTCTGGTCAGTTTATTCAGTGTTGATGATACAGATGATCCAAGACAAGAACAATGATACGAATGGCAAATAATTAAATACAAAGTGATCCTTAGCAAGAGACGCAGTTCAGGCAGTGACCAACGGATGGCGACACAGAACAAATGTATTTTGACTCCCACATTTCATTCCATGCCCTTGCGTTTACCAAAATGAAAATATTTCCAGTGGTCAGATCCAAATACTTAAGTCTGTTTGAGTGAACTATGTCTGTAGGAGAGGCAGTAAGGCACAGAAATGGTGGATATGAAGGTAAGTCTTTGTTCAAGAAGACATATACAATGCAGTCAACAAAATAAAAGCAAAAGGAAGGTACATCAACACCACCGTGGTTTTAAATTATATACAAATGTAATCCACAGACTCTCTCTCTCTATAAAACAACATTAAGAATGAACTGGTGTGTTCCCAAAATAAAAAAGAATGATATAAGACTTAATTTTATACCTGAAGTTTGATTGGACCATATGCTCAGTGGCAGCATTAGCACTAAAGCCATTTAGGATATGACTAGTATGAGACAGCAGTCTGTTCAGCTGTGGCGATTTGAGTGGAGGTCAAAGGTGAGGGTTCATTAACAGTGAGGTGACCGCAAATATGTGTACAGAATAAAACAGAAGGAACCAACTTACATTCCACTGGACTCCTGAAGTCAACAGGGCTTCAAGAGGACATACAAGTGTGAAATACCTATATGTGATGACCATGCAGTCAAATAGACCACAAACAAAGTCAAATTAAATCCCACAAGTCCAAAATCAACACTAATAGTAGTAAATGTCTCATAAAAATGATGTTTTAAGATGTAATTCTTGTCTAAATAAAGACATAATTTCCAAAAAAGGTAATTTTGTAATGCTGAAACAAGTGAGATTTAAATATTCGGAAACAAACATTCTGAGGGAATCCGCCAAATTGTGAATTACTGCAAATAAAGGTAAGAAATGCACACAGCAGACATTCATTACTGAAAATTAATAATAATGATCATTATTTCTATTCAGTTATTAACTTAATTAGACAAGGCAGAAATAAAAAAGGGGTTTGCTGATTAAGAGTAAATTCATTTTTGCATTTGCATAATATAATCAGCTTTTTCATTATACCAGGAACAAATGTTTGTTTTCAGGTACAAACCGTAAACCGAAGACAACAGTACGCACACACAGGTCTAAACCCAATTTCTGGTCCCAAGACACATTTAGATAACATGATTAAAATTAACCTCTAAACAAGAACTGAGAAACACTGATAGACATGATTTTTTTTCTTTTCTTTTAAAAGTGTCTCTGCTTGGAAAAAGAGACATACCACTAAATTGGACACATTTTTTTTACAAAAGAAATGAGCACAAATGGTAGAGGAAAAAACATTTAAAAGACTAAAATTCCAGATATTGTCTCTGTTAAATTATTCATTTTACAAAACCCTTAAAGTTGGGTGAGGTTCAAAGTTGAGTCTGATGTCCCGATGTCTTTGGGTGGGCTGGATATTAAATGTGGCTGTATTATAAAGTGATGACTGTGCCATCCTCCTCAACCCCTCCTCTGGGCAAAGCCAGGCTGTGACGGGGGTCTGTCCTCAGGCTACTGAGGATTTTGTGTAGGCTGCCATTGCTTTCCCGCATAACGGCGTTGCTGCTGTGGTAGGGGTGGTTTTGTAGGGTAAGGTCCTTGTGCAACTTGTAACTCAAACTATTGTGGACTGTGCCATTAAAGCTCGGTTGAGAGTGGAACGAGGCCGTGGACACCGTGGATGGAGGTCTCGTTTGGGGTCGCGTAGGGGGGCTGGGTGGGGTTACGGTGGTTTGTGTCTGGGACCGGGACGCAGTTGAAGCCACTGAGGCATTGGAGCGTCGTGACGGCCGCTTGATGTTGCTCTCAATTACGATGTCCGACTCCTCGTCACTCTCCAGATCTTCCGGGCTGTAGCCATGAGAGATGGCGGTGGCACCGATGGGAGCGGTGATGGCGGGGTATCCCACCGAACCGCTGCTGTCGGATGACTGACCCGAGCTGCCCGAGATTCGACTGCTGCGCACCACATTGTTGCGTTGGTTCACCGGCTTCACGGTCACGATGAGGTTGTGGCTGTTTGCGATCATCATATCGGTCACCTGGTCCAATGTCTTTCCCGTCACCTCAATACCATTGACTTCCAGGACCTCATCGTTGACGGCCAGCAGGCCAGTGCTCTCGGCCAGGCCTCCGGGTACCAGGCGGGAAATGAAGATACCCGGGACCTTTTCTAAACCGTGAGGTGTAACGCGAACACTGGTGCCATCACGGATGTAGAATCCAAGGGGCTTGTCCGAGCCATGCCGGTAGAGTCGCACTCTTCGGTGAGATTCAGGAAGAATGTCCACATCAATAATGGACGATACAGGACGGAAGTCTTGAGGCATGCCGATGCGGATGTGGGGCCGTTTGCGGTTCAGGTCATTTCGAAGAGTGACCACTGCCTTCTTTTTCCGAGTCAGAGTGCTGGTGCCGAAGTTGCTGTAGTCAACCTCTTCTGCAAGAGTAAACAAAATGATGACTGTTAATTAAAGATGCAAATTATGATTCATTACAACTGAATCTAGTACAAAGAATGACGATTTCCATTAAGGGATAGTTCACCCAAAAATCGTTTACTCGCCCTCAAACCCGCAAGACTTTCGTTCATCTTCGGAACACAAATCAGGATATTTTTAATGAAATCTCAATATTTGTGAAGAAAAAGCCTAAATGTCTCTACAGAAAATTTGGACTAAACCACTCAATCCATATGGATTAGTTTTACAATATCGTCATGAACTTTTTGAAGCATCAAAGTAGTAGTTGCATAGCTGTCATTGGAGGGACAGAAATCTCACAGATTTAATCAAAAATATCTTAATTTGTGTTCCGAAGATGAAAGTCTTAAGCCTGGAACACACCAACTGTCTATTTCTGCAGATAAATTCGTATATATACTCGTCATTCAAAAAGGGGAAACCGGAGTTGCCGGCTGCAGATACACAAACCATAAACAAAGAAGCGCGTGGTTACCGTTTTAAACACCAATCCTGCTAAACACTTTCTTTATTTCACTCCGCTCATATTAATATTCACTCTCAGAAAAAAAGGTACAAAAGCCGTCACTGGGACTGTACCTTTTCAAAAGGTACACTTTTGTACCCAAAGGCTGCATTTTGGTACCTTTGTGGTACATATTAGCGCCTGAAATGTACATATTAGCACCTGAAATATACATATTACCACCTAAAATATACATATTACCACCTAAATCGACATATTAGCTAATGAAATGGACATATCAGCACCTAAAATGGACATATTACCACCTGAAATGTAAATATTAGCTCATGAAATAGACATAGCACCTAAAATGTACATATTAACACTTAAAATGTACATATTAGTACCTAAAATGTACATATTACCACCTAAAATGTACATATTACCACCTAAAATGTACATATATGGGCCTAAAATGTACATATTAGCACCTAAAATGGACAAAAGTTTACTTTTCAAAAAGGTACAGCCCCAGTGACAGCTTTTGTACCTTTTTTTCTGAAAGTGTTGAAATATTCGTCAAGGACCACTTAGGTAAGATGACGACATAAAGAACAACCTTCTATCAGTAGAGTTTTGACTTCTTTGCTTGCTGTTTTGCTAATCTCGTGCATTGACTCTATCACTAAGCTGAACAGCCAATCAGAGTTCCCTCTTTCACCGACGGCGATTCAACATGTCGAATCGGCCGGAAAAAAAAAAGCTGACAAGGACCAATTTCAGCCGACGGCATGGAACCATCCAGAACACACACCGAGGAAACTTAGTTGGCCGACGCACAAAAACCGCCCGACAGCCGACGGTGTTTTCCAGGCTTTATAGGTTTGGAACAACATGGGGGTGAGTAACTGATGACATAATTTTGGGGTGAACTATCCCTTTAATCCACAAATATGGAAATGTACATCAACATCATATCCAAAGTCAGTCCTCGAGGGCCACGGTCCTGCAAAGTTTAGCTCCAACTTTCCTAAAACACACCTGCCTGGAAGTTTCTAGCATGCCTAGTTAGACACCGATTAGCTGGTCCAGGTGCGTTTAATTGGGGTTGGAGCTAAACTTTGCAGGACAATGGCTCTCCAGGAGCAGGACTGGACACCTGTGGTAAAGGTAGCTCAGATTAGTTTGATAAACTTCAGCCTTAGCACTATTAAAAGGTAAAGCTTCACATGAATTTGTGGATGAGGACAAGCATGCAAATCAAATCAGACCTGCTGAATGGTTTATACCCCTAAGATACTACATGTATTATGATGTAACATGATTTTTCTGGCATGTTAAACCAAAACATGAGGCCACCTTATCGAATCATTACAAAAATGTAACCTTAACTACTGACAGAACACAAAGATCTCTGTTGAAAGCATTTAGCAAAGATGAAGTGATCTGCATTATCTGATATATGCCGAAAAGTGCGGTACAACATAATAATTAAACACTTAGATTGAGAAGACCTTGTGATCACACTTGATCTCTTAAAGTCCTCCTGAAAGACAACCCATCTTAAAACAGAAGAGCCATAAGACCAAGGTCATGCATTACCAAGTTAGTGTTTTAAAAGGCTTCTCTTTAAAGTGTAACATAACTTAGTCCAACAAAACCCTCTCTGTGCTGCATCAGACAGCCATCAACCACACCTGGACTGTTCGCTTTGGATATAAGGCATAGTTTCCAGTGCAAGTTTATTTGACTTCCCCAGCATGAGTTCTCAAGAAAGACAGGCACGAAAACACCTTCTGTACAATTAGCCTAAAATCAATTTTTAAAAATGCTCATACAAAGCTTCCGAATGTTCATCAAAGCATCCAGATGCAGTTGTTCTTAGTTTGGCTCTTTGATTATTTTGATTGAGTCCAGACAGACTTTTATTATGTCCTGGAATTTTAGCCACAACTGCAAATCTCTTGATAGGAAACACATTGAAGTGTTTCTTCTTCTGGTCTTCATTAAGAAGGGTACCGTTCTCTCCAAATCTACACCCTTCTTCTAAGAAAAACTGAGAACACCTAGCAGAACATATAGGAACTAATGGAGGACTTACTTTGTGAGTAAGCAAAGACAAAGCACATAAATGAATCCTGAAGTCTGGAGCCTGGGAGTTGAGAGCACTAGATTTATTTATTTATTTATGTGCCTGGCAGAAACTAGTATCCACTGGATTTTCCATTCTGACTCCTGGTGTCCAGTCCAGACTGGTATCGGCATGGACCCAGTGTGGAGGGACTGAGAGTGAGGGTTAAGCCACTAAGTCACCAAGCCTAAACGACTCCTGACAGAGTAATCCTCACTGCACTGATGCATGATGGGAAAATAGATTCAGCTCAGTGATCAAAGGACCGTTTCCAGACATTTCCAGGGGAAAGTGAATGGCACAGTGCCTACCAGACAGAAAACAAAGACTACAGGTTCAATGGAGCCAATGAGTTGCCCAAGAAAGTTTCATTAAATTGATGTTTTCATAAAAGAGAGGCATGGTGATTAACAATGTGCCTAAATCATTCCATACATTCTTTTGTACAAACAACAGCAAGCCACATACATGTTTTTATTGATTTAAAGGTTTAGGCACTAAATGGCAGATTCTTTGATATTTGTGGTTATGAATATCCACAATACCAACCCGAGGGCAAACTATTTTTCTCTTCTTTTTTGGAAAACATTGATTTCCAAACCCTAATTTGTTTTGTGGTTGCAAAGCCCAAGAAAAAAAGTATTAAGATTAAAGCAGCTCAGCCTACAAAACTCCCATTTTTTTGAAGGAAATATCCTGACTAGGGTTGGGTATCGAGAATCGAGTATCGATTGGAATCGGGACTAACCTTTCGTTTTTCCCGGAATCGTTCAAAAGTTCAAATTTCGATTCCTAGTTTCGATATTCACGTCGGCGGTCCAAAGTGTGGCTTTACTTTTCTAAAAATAACGAAATTGCAAAATGCAAAATTTGTGACAAAAGGAGTATTTTTACAGAAGGAGTATTTCCTTCAGAAAGGATTATTTCCTTCAGAAAGACCGTTGGTTAGCAAGGTTAGCTAAACTTCTTTGACCCTGCCTCTTAAAAGAATCGGAATCGAGAATCGTTAGGAACCGGAATCGAAACAAGGAATCGGAAACGGAATCAGAATCGTTCAAAATTCAAACGATACCCAACCCTAATCCTGACTGCTTTATAGTTTATTTTTAATAATAGTTCTACACTTTACTCAACAGCTATTTTGACCTTTAAATTAAGAACGAAACCATCTGTGAGAGACTTCCCTTGTATGATCATTTTATTATTGCAGGCATAACAATTTTAAAATGAAGTATTCTATAACTTTTTTTAACAGATTAAACCTAAATAATTGAAAATTATATAAATGTATGTGTGTATAATAAAATTCTAAAATTCTATTCTTATGTTAATACAACAGAATATTTGGGATATTCAGCCTCACATAAAAATCACAACCAGAAATCAACATAAAAAATAATAGAATCGTTGAGATGAAGGCAGAAATAAAGTAAACAAAGGCTGCAATCAGTTAACTAAGCACAAAGAAACCAATAAATGAATTTCCCATATGCTGTCAATCAGAAATCGACAGCTCAAGTGTCCTGGCACTGCAGTCACCTGACTAGACTCCATGGGGAGGGGTCCGGCCCCAGTGTCAGGGCAGAGGTCACTGGAGATGAGGTGGGTGAGTCCGGTCAGAAAGGAATAGACCCTACATTCCACCACAGTGCCTCAACTAGGAATGCAGAAGTTGCTTCACAACTTAACCTACAACATATTTGAAGCGTAATTCATCAGTTGACGGTAAAGCGGTATGGTCCCCATCAGTCACCCATGGGTGGGTGTGGGAAAGAGGAGTGGGCGAGGTCTCAGGCCTTTGTTATATTGTCCCACCTCTCGTTAACTTCCACACTGAAAGGGCCTTTTTCAAGTTCTTCTGGATTTTTACAAACGCTCATAAAAGCAGGCCTCAAAAGAGTTTTATGGCCAATCATTATGCCACCCAACAGGGTTTATTTTCCCATTTTCTCCTGAATTTCCTACTGTGTGTCTTGGAGAAACTGCCAATTCAATTCTCATTCCTATTTCCATGACACCCTGCTGCATAAACTCCTGTCTGGGGTCTATTATTTGCATTGCTGCTGAATAATGCTCTTGGTAGGAGTCATCTGCCGATGACAAGAGTGAATAAAATGATGTGCATTAGCCAGTCATCCAATACCCAGCTTGAGAGGCTATATTGCACACAGACAAACAGAATGTCCATTTCCATAACATCACCAAACTACATGCCCGGTGAACTCGGGAACTCTATTGTGAATTGCATTATCAATTCAGTGGTTCAATCCTCGGTTCCACATGACCAAGTGTCGAGGTGTCCATGAGCAAGACACCCAACCCCACCTGCTCCCGACGAGCTGGATGGCGCCTTGCATGGCTGACACCGCCGTCGGTGTATG